AGTTTAGGTCCCCCATGACTACCACTTCCCTAGTCTTTATGGTCTCCGAGAGCTGCCTCAGGAGTTCCAAATCTAGTTCTTCCCCTTGGTGTGGGGGTCTGTAGCAGACCCCTACCATCAAATCCCTTTCCCCTTGACCTCCATGTATCTTAACTCACAATCCTTCTACTTTTTCCTCCGATTCCATTTTGATAAGGGTCAAAGTATAACGCTCCTTGACATAGAGCACAACCCCTCCCCCTCTCCTCCCTACTCTATCCTTTCTGTACAGCTTATATCCCTCAATGTGTACTGCCCAGTCACTGGTAGAGTCCCACCAGGTTTCTGTTAACCCCACTAAGTCATAAGTGTTTTCTGCAAACGGAAGTGCTAGTTCATCCTGCTTGTTCCCCATGCTCCTAGCATTAGTGTATAGGTCCTTGAGCCCTGTGACTGGCGCCTTTGTTGCCCCCCGGCTCTGATGCCCAATGGGCCCCTTATTTCTTACCTGCTTATTGCTTACCTGTGCTGTACTGCTGGACATCCCATGGATAGCAGGTTCCTGATGTTCTCTTTCTTCTGTCTCCCCTTTGGTGTCAAAACTCGGGGGTTAGGAGGCGGGACTTCTGGTCATAAGATGGTGAGAAAGGGGTGAGACATCTGCAAGGGGTGGAGCTATCCATGTGGCCCTTGACAGCTTGCCAAAACTCGGTAAGTGGCCTTCCACCCAAAATAATTCCCCCCAGCTGGTTTACATGGCCAGCCCCAAAGTGTGAGTAGGGATGGGGCATGTAAACTGTGCCTGAAACACTCCATCATTCATGACAGGCAATTGGCTAATATTTTTAGAAGTGCAGTGTCTGGAATACCACCCCCATAAAGTTTTTTGGAAAGGCATGAGCCTGTACAAAGGAGAGGTATGGAAAACAGAACTTCATACTATTTCATCAAGGAGAAACGTGAAGAACTAGCATCTGCATGCAACAATCAGTAAAATACAAACATTAGTCTATTTTTGAAGGGACTGTCTTCCTTTTTGTGCAGTTCTTTTGAATGTTTTCTTTCAAATTTCCTTATATTGCTTGCTTTGTATTTCTACCTTCCCTTCCTCCCAATGAAGATTCCCAGTGGTGCTGTCAGTGGCATGTCTGCTTCATCACTTGCCTTTCAGTTTTTTTTTCTCTTTCTCCTTCTTTGCATCCTAAATATACAGTCTTACTCATTAACCCCTTTTCTGATTCCTTACAGTATCCATTAGGAACCTTTCTGCCTTGGTTTCAGAGAAAATGGACAGTGTGGGTATTATCTTCCATGCAAATATTTGTTAGAGGTGCACCAATATATTGGTTGCCTATTGGATTGGCACCAGTACATGCCACTCATGCCTTCCCTGGGGGTGTGTGCCGTGGTGGGGAGGCACCTCCCCCACACCCTCTGGACAAGCTGCCCACATCTAAGTCCTGCTCCCCAGCCTGCCGGTTTAACCAGAGTAAAATGGTTACTGGATCGGCATCAGCTGATATGGTTGGTTAATAATTAGGTATTGGTATTGGCCAAAAAAATGTTCATGAATGCATGCTTAATATTTGTTGCTACTCTCCTTGTTTCTCACTAATGTAGTAAGAAGTTCCTTGAATCTTTTGTTGCCTTAACCTTGTGGTCCTGTTCGCTGTAGGGAATTGTATTGGGAGAATCTGACTTCCCAAGGTTACTAACTAATAGAATGGGATGTGCTTGTGTGAGGGAGTTCATATTTAAAATGAAAATTAATTCAAAACCTGTAGAGACATCTCCATGCAGACTGGTTTATTTGCTTACTGTTGGTCTTCCAGTTCATCTAAGGAGGTATACAGAGGGCAGTTTTAAGGTAACTTCTCAGATCCTCCAGCCCCCATTACGACGCTTTCTAACACAATACCTATTGGCAGAAGTGTTGAAGAAGGGTCAGTTGGGTCAGATGGTTGTGATTTTGTCGAGATTTTTAGTTTTTAGACCTAAGGTTAGTGGTAAGTTTCTTGTGGATGTTTTCTTGAATTCTGAACTTGCTTTCTCAGGGGCTTGTGCTTTTCAGTCGCATTCGTTCAGGCTGGTTGAGAGGTTTGGAAACTTTTCTCACTATTTATCACCAGGTTGGCAAGCCTTTCATGAGCTTGTGAAATGTTGCTTGCCTATAGCATCCATCACTTCCTAGGCATTTGAACTTGGATCTTATTTTCCAAGGTTTTGTAAGGCAGGGACTTCAGTCATTTTCCATAAGTTTTCATACTTACCAGCATACTCTGGTTTCTCTTCAGATCACTTCTGCTTTTGATTAAATATTTACTACAAGAGGGGCACTTATTTTTTTTTCCTGTAGTTGCCCTGGTTCTTTCCTTTTTCAGGAAGACTTATTTTGCCATAAGATTTTGGTCGTGATACAAAAGAAGAAAATCCCCAATCTCAGTTTTACTCGGATTCTTAAATTTCTAATTTCTGCCATTGGCCATGCAGTCTTGTCTTTACCTAAATGGGCCAATTTTGATATTCAAAGTAAGGCTGCCTTCAGCAAGATCAGCCACTGTGACCCATTACTGTCAGTGGTGCTAAAGGTGCAAGTTGCGCTTCAGCTGGCTGACGCATCTGTTTTACAGATAAAGATGAAGAAAATTTCCCATCGTTTCCATTGAGATTACAGTCAGCCTACCCTGAGAGAAGATATTTTTGGTTATTGTGTGAGTGCTCGGCAGGAGCAGGAGAACGGAGAGATACTAGACATGGAATTGTGTAAGTGACAGAGAAAGGAAATCTATTGTGAACCAAGAAACATCACTTCAAAGAGATGGGAGATTGTGGAAAGTAGTGAACTGATTTTAGAGGTGCAAAGAAATGGGATGGGAGTAGATGAAATGAGGCAAATGGAATGAACTACCAGGAAGTAAGATATGGAGCAAGGAAGGAGTAGAGGTGGGGGAAAGTAGAATATGGTGTGCCCAAGATCATGAAGAGGAATGTATGGAGAATATATGCATATATTTTAATGTGAACTAGTACAAGCCAGTTCCACAAATTTTTGCAGAGCCTAGCTCATGATGTTTGGTCTTAGCAGCACCGTTCATGCTTGTTTA